CCCTGTGACCACCGGACCCCCCACCCCGAGCCTTCCTCACTTAGCATGGAAATTAGGAATACACCTCCAGAGAGATCCCAGAACTGGATCCATGGGTGGTGACTCTCTCTCCTGTCTCTCTCTCTCTCCCCTTCAATCTCTTTTTCTCCCCCTTTCCTGGTTTTTTCATAATTATAATCGAATAAAACCTTTATTATTATATTATTAATGTACTATTGTCTTTTGGCATACAATCTCACTGGCACCTTAATTTGGGCAGAGGCACCTCACAAATCAGAACCTAATAGGATGTTGCTCTTGCAGAGCCAGGGTGAAAACAACAAAAAATATCCACTGGGAAACTGACCTCCCCTGCACCCTGCCTGACAGTGGGAAAGGCAGATGTACTCTCCTGCAGGGTCTGCCTCACCCTCTCCCTTCTGCTCTGCAGGGAGCATGCTATTTGCAAAGTGAAGGGTAAGGCAGCTCAGCCCAGTCTCTGGATTAGGACAGGCAGAAATTTCTCCCAACTCCCTCTGCAGCTCGGCCAACATGCTTTAGCCTTGGTCAGCAGCACACCCTGCTAATCTGATCCCTGAGCCCCCTCCCAGAGGCTGCTCCATCCCTGCAGAAGCAGGCAGCAGCCCAGTGGGACAGGCTGCAGGGACAGTACGATCTCCCTCAGCCCTCTGCAACCTCATATGAGGAAGGCTGGAGGGATCTCAGGCAACCACTGAGGAGGAACACTACAGCCACTCTCCTGGGAAAACCAAGTGGAGGCAGGAGGCACACATGCCCACAGGGTGCTCCAGGAGCTGGACTGCTCCTTCCCATATGCTACCTCTGGCCAGCCATGTGCAGCAAGCAGAGAAATGAAAGGCTGTGTAAACTTAAACCTATAATTAATGAAATAACTTTGAACTTTGGGGTAAAGACTCTTGTTTGCAACTACAGCTGTAACTGATGGTAGCCATACTCTTAACCATAGCTGTAGCTGTAGGCCTAGCTGCTCTAGGCCTGTCTGCTACTGCAAAAATTAAGCCCTGAGGAATTTGCAATGCCTGCACAAGAAGATATATTGCAAATCTCAATGTCTCTGCAAAGTGAAGAAGTTAAATGCAAGGCTGAAAGAGACTGACAAGACATTTGTCCAAGGAGTTGAGGCACCAGCACTGGTTAGAACCTGCTCTGAGGTTTGGAAAGATGTGGCAGCTGATTCTACCCCTGCCTTATCAGAGGCAAACCTAAGCCTTGGGCCTCATGGAGGGTTCAACCTTGGGACGCTAGGCCTATGCCCTTGAAGACATGGATAGACGTAAACAGGCTATGGAATGGGGAACTTGGCTGGTTAAAAGGGGATTTGAGGGGCTGAAAATTTGGCAAAGTATATAAACTTAGGACACACATGTTTGTATGCTTTGGACAAATCATGTGGAGGCATTGTATGAGTGTTATACACTACGCACTAATAATATGAACAGAAGCTGCACGTGATTGTATCAAGCACAGCACATATGTAACACAGCAAAGCAATAAAGGTCTTGCACCTGTTTGTATGCTTTGGACAAATCATGTGGAGGCATTGTATGAGTGTTATACACTACGCACTAATAATATGAACAGAAGCTGCACGTGATTGTATCAAGCACAGCACATATGTAACACAGCAAAGCAATAAAGGTCTCCTCTTGCACCTTCACTTGAGGAGTTCATGTCCCAGTCCGCTACAGAAAGATGACCAGAAGAGATGTGCGTGCCTTTCCAAACAGGAGAGGTCATCCAGCAGACAAGTGATGAAGACTATGGAATGACCACCACAGGTCACAGAGGACCCTTGATGACCACCAGCTCAATTAACTGTGCAGGTGCAAGAAGGGAGGGATATTATAACCATTTCCAGGAAATCAGCAGCATATATTTATGAGTTTCTGGAAATTTTATGAATATGCATGATTTGTGACAATCAAAACTGTCCTATTCGGAGCTGGGGTGTGGTCCTAAGAGGAGCAATCCCCCACATACCCGGTGCTGGTGTTAAAGGAATGCTGCTTAACAGTATCACACTGTTGGGTCGGTTTCTTTCAATCAGAAAACAGGCCAGGAAACACTGAGCTGACAGCCTGCCAGGACTGCACCGAGTACCAACTTATACTGATCTTTCTCTACCCACACCTTTTGCTAAATTCTCTCAAAAGTCTTTCCCCTACCCTAAACCCTGTTGCTGACATCTCCACGCACTACAGCCCCTACCCTTCAGGTACAGGCAGCAAGATGTGGGATTTGTGACAACACCTGCAAGATGCCATCAAAGACACAGCCAAGTCCACACCAGTGTCCTGTGCTTGCCAAAAGGGGTAATCTAGGTCAGTTCTATCCTCACTGCACAGAGACTCCCTCCCACGCCAGCACAAGCTCAGTTGTGATCGTATGGTTTCAGCAGCACTGGTTTCACCTGGTTTGTGCTATCTGCACATTCACTGCCCACCTGCCACTGAATGTTGCTCCCACAGAATAGGACACACAGACCTGCCTGGTCAGTGGCTGCCCAGTCCCAGCACACAGAGCCCTCTGTGCAGCATGAGAAGAGAACCTGAGAACACCGTGGGCTGCACATCTGGTATAGTCAGTGACTTCTGTGTTTCTAAGGTCCCCAACTGCTGCCCTACAGCATGTAAAGTTTCTTCTTACTGGAAGAGGTGTTTGGAAACAAGGACCAGCAACAGGCACATTAATGACCAACACTAGAGAGGTTGGCTGCTTTTTAGTCACACTAGTCTTCGTGCTTTTCACCATTATGATCTCTCAAGTGACTTACTCTGTAGACAGTTGTAGAGAAGAGCTCTGAGCACTCCTGTCCTCAGGAAGGACTTTCTGATGGGCTCTCAAAGGGCTTTCACCTCCAAGCTGACTGTCACCACCTGCTTGATCTTCTTCTCTAATCTTTGCTTAGAATAGAAAGTGGCCAAAAGCAATTTTTTCCAGAGCCCTGAGCCTCTAAGCATTTATTTAAAAAGATGTAAAATAAATATATTATGTTTATCTTTATTTACCACATTATGTATCACATACTGTGCCAGCTCAACAGAAAAAGCACTGGGCATGAGTCTGTGAAGCACTGAATATCCTGAAAACTCCAAACACTCAATTTCAAGCCCTTTAAAAAAAATCCCACTGCATTCAATGAGACCATGTATAGTCACTTTGGGCCTCCTTGGGCATTTTCTTTAAATTTTAAAATATCAGAGTTAACAGCCTTGCTGTCCTGGGCTGCCAGAGACCATCTCTAGTTCTCAAGAGGTAACAACACTACATTGGAAGAGTTAGGAACAAAAATAATACTCTTTACATACAATATTTGAGTTACTGCCTTTTTAGGAAACATTTTTATAAAGCACTTACCATTTGCCTTTTGTTTTCTATCAAGTTTGATCCGATTATTCCAAGAAATGACCCAAAACCAAGCTGAAAAACAACGTATTGTTAGCATTTAGATCAGGATGATATCCAACATACTTTACATACAGACAGAACACAATTAAATCCAGAAGCAGCAAAAGAACATACTGTGATGTGCGAGCATTCTTCCTTCAGCAAGAAATCAGTGGAGTCTGTTGCTAGCAGGAACTATCAGGTGTATCCCACATATGACACTAAAAGCGTGTGTAGAAACCAAAAGGATGAGTTCTGAATTCCATCCCCTCCCCAGTGATGCTGAGAAATGGCTGGTGGATGAGGATATGCATTGCTGTCTTGAAACAACTCTACAAACACACAGCAGCCTCCAGATGCAAACCTAGCAGGACTACAAAAATAACATTTGCAGGACCAGGCTACTGTAACCTCACTGAGTGTGTGAGCAGTCACCTCAGTTTTCAACTCAGAGAGTTTCTTGATGTGAGATATGAAACAAGGGAGAATTATAGTTTGAGAAGATCTAGCAGTTTTCTGTCTTCTTCTACTCTTCTCTCGTTTTCCAGGGTGAGGATGTATCAATCCGGGTGTTCTACCAGAAGAGCTCATGCCAACCCAGCCAACAGAATAAGGTACTGCAGCAAATACATCTTTTCTTGCTGCCATAACTGGCAATATTTATTTCAGCTCATTGAAGTCATCCAGGAGTGTGATTTCCTGCCTCCTTTCTCCATAGCCTTAAGCTACACTATACAGAAGTTTCCAGGACAGAGCACAACTCAGCCAGGCTAGAAACCGGGACTTCAAGCAGGAACCACAGACTACAAGGGAAGATGCAGAAGTACTTCTGTATCACACCAAGAATGGTCTTTGGTTGGCCTAGAGCATATCTAACTCCACTTCCAGGGGTTGGCAAAATGAGAAATGCCAGAAAAGTCCTACAGCTGGACTGGTCATGTTAAGCAGGTGCAAATCCAGACAATAGACAGAGGAGCAGTGAAGATCTGGGTGAGAATGCCCATAACTGGCCAGCTCCCCAGGAAGCAGAGTAACATGAGACAAGCTGCAGTGATTCAAGAATGAGTCAACTAACCTGGAATTGATATTTTAAGACCCAGGAATAGAAATCAAACATTTAATAAATCCAATACTAACAAGCAGAGACATGGGCAGAGATTAGCAGACACAAATGTGACCCAAAAGTTGGGCTTAAATCTTCCCCTGCTCTGTTTAAGCCCAGGAACCTTTGGTGCAGTGCTGTGGGCAGTGAGGGCTGCTGGCTCAACTGGCAGGATTAAAGCGGAGCAGCTGATCAGGCTGCTGCTTCCCGGCTGCCTGCCTTGCACTCTAAGTTCTCAGAGGCCATTGTCTCCACATCAGGGACAAACTGCCACAGTAGGAAGCACAGCAGTGGAGCCAGGGGCTCCTTCTGCTGGGGTGGCAGACAGGCAGGGCAGAGACCAAAGGCATTGCTGAACTGCCCTAAACTTATCTGTCAGTGCTTCTGACTTATTATTTTGCTCAGCTTGGGCAAGAAACAACTCTCACCTTCCTCAAGTAACTCGAGATTTACAGCTCAATTCCAAGCACAAAACCTGGGAGATCCAGGCATTAACAGTGATGTGGATCCAGGCATAATGGTCAGTCTGGTGATGATCAGCAGAAGGAACTTGTGTGGCAACACACACCTAAGGCAAACGCTCAAGAAAAGTGTTTAGTGTCCTTGGAGCTTGATCCAACACATTTAAGAGAAATGTCCACATGATGTTTCAGAGCAGCCTCAAACCAAAAGGTGAAATACTTCAGATATTTTAAGATAATTCAAACAGAAGAAATTAGAGCAAGTTTGTACATCCAACAGGTGAAGGCCAAATAAATCAGTGGATTCTCATTAACAGGAATTCTCATTGCATTAGTGGAAAAACTACTCGTTCTGCTATGGATGGGACAAAGAGATCTTAGTAATCTGCATCAGTTGCATCATTTGTTTGCTGGTGGATGCAATGCCCTGGGATGTCTGTCTGAAAGGAGGACAGGACACAAAATGAATGTGCTGTTCCAGAGTGAAGCCCCAAGCCAATATCCTTGGCAAGGAACCATTACAGAAAAGGTTTGCCAGTGAAAGCTTAAGAAAGGTCAGCCATTTACACAGATTCTGAAGCTGTTACAACTTGGAGACAACACACATATCTCAGAGTCTCACTTCCATAAGGGTGCTTGCCCTCTGCACCTGATTGTTACTTGTCTGCCAAGCATCACTGTCATACTCCAGGCTTCCCAGGCCCAGGTCAGTCACCCTGCCACAGGTGAGGACATTTCCTACAGAAACACAGCCAGGGTGTTCACTGATGTAGTTGTGAAGGTGTGGGTGGTCATGGAGGAGGGTGAAGGCAGTCTGCCTACAGGACATGGCACTGCACCCTCTGCTTCAGCTTCTCCAGTTGTATCAATGAGGAACTGAGCTGTCTGGGAAAAAAACCAACCTCAAACCCTCAAAAAACTCAACCAAACAAAATCCCACTGATGTCTGGAAAGTCTCCAGAGCCCTGTTCTGTCCTTGGAAGCAAAGGCCTGGGAAGATAATCCCCCACATTAGGCAGTCTCTTCTTTGCATGTTTCCTCCTTGCACCAGAGATGCTTGCTCAAGAAACACAAGTGGAAGGAGGAAAGAATGGTACATTAAGCATGGCAGCAATAAGACATCTGATGTCCCATAAGATGATCCCAACCATGGAACTGATCCACATATAAAGAAGTTACCCAGCACACAAAGAGACTTCTGGCTCTATCTTTTCCATACCAATGCAGGGTACTCAGGGAATGACTAATAGTGGTGTACCAGTAACAGTGCACTGAACCCCTGATGGAGATGCACACAGACATCTGTGTGAGGTTCTGGATGACGAGAGCAGCAAGGAGCTGCTTCTTCAGGGCTGCGGAAGTCATCTGCTTGGGGACGATTCACCAAGTACTCATGCACCACAGCAAGCCCTTTTTCCCCAGTAAAGGGAGAAATCACAGCTTGTTATGAAACATTGGCTATTTTAAGCACCTGCTGAAGCATCCAGCAGCACACTGAAATGTTTTCCTGTGCAGGGAGACAGGCGAGGTCATCACACATTTCCACACAGCAGATTAATGAACCAAGAGGGGAAATTTGGTGACATACACAAATTGCCAGGTTGCCTCTGAATAAAGTAACTCAACGCCCTTGCCAAGTCCAGGAATTCATTAATTCCTTGAGTAGACTAAGTCTTAAAAAAGCGTAAGTGATGCTGACGTTCCCGAACCATAAATAGCACGGGAGATGTCAAGGGGATGTGAACAACAGACTCTACCCATCTGCATCAGTCTGCAGGACCTGCTCTGAAGCACGAGGTTCAGTTCAGGCTGACAGAGTGCAGGCTAAGTGTGGAGAGTTTGAAACCAGCCTGTCACCTTTCTCAACACCTTCCTTCTCTTTCAGAAAGATCAGGCCTAAATGCAGGAGTTACTAAAACAATCCAGAAAACCTAAACTGAAGAGGCCCAATGCAATCTTGTAACAGTGTTCCACACTAATGGCTGTAAAGGGGCTTTATTCAGTCATAGAAGAACTTGTTTACAGAGAAGTGTAACACTCCCTGAGACCAGCAATGTGTGGCAAATGAATCACACCACAATAAGGCAAGAACAAGTCTCCACCTAGTTATGTGGGCTGGTGTCAAGCCTCCAAATTCAAGGCTCCAGACCAAATGCCCAGCACTCTTCAGCTGTTACACTGGGATCCCCTAGCTAGGGGGCTGCAGTTACACTCAATCTGTTAAGACACCCAATTTGGCTGCAGTTCAGTGCTTCTCTTTGAGCACATCTCAGATGCACACAGGAACAGACCAGGACTTGCTTTCCAGCCTGTGTTAGACCTCTGCTCATGCTGGGAGCGGAGTGATGTACTTGCCCCTTATGCTTTTGTAGGAGGTTTTACATCTAATGTCAGGAAGGTTGGGAATCAGTGATCTTCCTCTAAATTAAGCCATTTGAAGCTACAAGATTGTCCTTTCCCATTTTCAGCTGTCGATAACAAAAAAGAAGAAATGGATGTGCTCATGGCTTTGATGTACATGCTCCCCTGGCAAGCTGCCGCAGCTCCTCATCCAGTGACTCCAAATCATTAAACACTTCTGCAAGTGAACTTTATGACCACAAGTTCACGTGAACAGTATTTCAAGACCTGGTCTTTCAACTGTTCTTGGCACCAATGGTCCTTCTTTGCCTTACTTCTGCCTGGGCTTAGTGTGATCTGTGCAAACAAAGATGTTCCAACGTTGCATCGACTGACAGAAAACCTCTTTATCTGTCTCACTACTAGCTCAAAAGCATGTTATTACCTAAGCTCAGAGAAAGCTGCCACTTGGATGGGATTTTTGCATGGGAATGAGCAGCAGGTGCAAAATAATAATAAAACAAATAAATCAAATGGCAATGAAGTAGCTGAGCAAAATATTCAGGACAAGATCACCCTTTATAACATGTGCAGCATTACCAGGGACTTTGTAGGCAGTAAGTTTTCTAGACCTACCTAGGAGTTCTATACTTACAATAACCCCTGGGTAATAACCTCCAACAGTCACATTTTGGGTTCTTGTTGTAGCGGCTAGGCCCACCGTTAGAATTAATACTGACACAATGAGGAGAGTCACAGTTACGTAGAGGGAATTTCTTTTTCTTCTATTGAACGACCCTAAAAACACATACACACACAACAGAGTTTGCTGATTCCATCTGGGGACAGTCACAGGACCACAAATTTCTCCTCCCACCACCAACCACATCACGGTGAATTTCCTTGCTTCTAACTTGAGAATATTTTTGGGTTTGGCTGTCACTTTTCACCTTCACTAACATGCTTTATCAAGCATTACTAGGGCATCTGAATCCACATTTACTTATCGTGGCTCTGACGTAGATGAGAGAGCCTTAAGAACTGTAACTCTGCAAAGCTCATTTAGATACATCGGAGTCTCCCAGCCCCTGTGGCCTGGAGCAGTTGAGCTAATGAGAAATATTCCCATCAGGCATTTATATATTTTCTGATCTGTCTGCTTATATCAAGATAAATAACCACACTGCTGCCTGATTTGAGGGGGAAAATCTTGTCTGTAATCATAAGGCATCCACAATTTTCCATGCAAATGAGACATCACCAGTAACAGCCACTTCTCCCTCTCCTGTAGTATCATCCTCTACTTTCAGCAAGGACCAGGTATTTTTAGATGCTTGAATAATGAATTTGTGGATTAGTAAAACTCATCTACAGCTGCCTGATGATGAGGGGTTTTTTTTCTTTTACATATTTATAGATCTCCCAAATGAGCATAAATATAAAATAGTGATTCCAGCAGCCAAGACGAAAGCTGGCTGTGATGTTACGCTCAGGAACATCTTTAGGCATGTTTGTTCAGCATGTGCTCTGCCATCTTTGCATCACTTTGTGTTACAATCCTTCTGATTATATTTCATATTTTATGCAGACATAACCCAGCACCTTCAAGAGTGGCTGGTGGGATAATGGACTGTAATGGTTCCCTGTGGGCTGCTGGAGCCACCCTGAATCCCATCCCCACAGCCAGGGGCTCTCCAACATGTCCTGGGAGCACATAAAGGTATTTCCCACCCGAGAGGCTCCCATGTGCATGCTCCCAGCACTTCTCAGATTGTTTCAGAGAAGGGCAGGAATGTGTCCCAAGGGCAAGGAGCTGCTTTTGCCACTGCTGAGTGTATTCCCTAAAGCAAACCACCTTGGGAACCCCCATCTGAGGAGTTCAAGGGCTCCCTGGCAGGCTGTACACCGACAGAACACCTGGAGAAAGGCCATGAGGGGAAACCTGGCCAAGCCATACACAGCCTCCCTGTCCAGAAAAATTCTCCAGAAAGAGGAGCACACCAGGTCTTTCTGGGCAGCTTTCTGACTCAATGAATGCCTCAGGCGCCCACAGGCTCTTCTGTAGGGCTGCGCATATTCGCAGTTCAGGTAGATCTTTTCACCATAGCAGCTACACTGATGCAGCCATATGGACGCACAGTGGTACAAATTATCTCCCTTCCTCCAGAGACAGCACTCCCCAGGGAAAATGCAGCAGTTCCCCAGTGTTCCTTCACACCCATTTCAACCTGACCCACCAGCCGTGCTGCTGGCAGGAGTGCTCCCCATGCAGTTCATGCTCTGGATTGACACGGCTGCTATGGGCACAGGCCTGGATCATTTCATCTACTCCAACCAGATGAGCTTGAAATCATAGAGAGGTGCTAAACTTGGGGTTTCAAAGCACAACACAAGGAGTTCACAAAACCACAGAAGAGGTAAAGTTGGAGAGGACCACTGGAGGTCCCCTAGAGAGGTTAATGAAGAAAAGCACCATAATTTCTGCCTGACCAATGCCTCTGGAAGGAAAGCTCTCCACCCACAAACCTTCTGCTCATATCACAGCTCTGACTGCACCACTGAGACATCTCTGATTCTAAGAGCAACTGACAACTA